GGCGGGTGCTCCCTGCCCTGTCCATCCAGGTGCAGCTTTGCCATGTGCCTCCAGCTCCCGGCTCTGTGCCCCGCGGGGCGGGAGACGCTCCCCGAAAGGAGCTAGCGCCAGTGAGTTTGTTGGGCTGCGGGGCGGCTGGAAACGCCTCGGTTCCATCCCCCGGGGCGCGAGTGCCTGAGCCCCCGGCCCTGGGCGTCCGCAGGGTCCTTGGAGTCTAACGCTGGTGCCACCCATGTGCCTCCAGCACAGCTTCCCCCTCCCCCTGCTCTGCCAGTGCCTCCCACCTCTGCCCCTGCAACCCCAGCCATGGGTTCTCCCCTCCCCCTGCTCTGCCAGTGCCTCCCACCTCTGCCCCTGCAACCCCAGCCATGGGTTCTCCCCTCCCCCTGCTCTGCCAGTGCCTCCCACCTCTGCCCCTGCAACCCCAGCCATGGGTTCTCCCCTCCCCCTGCTCTGCCAGTGCCTCCCACCTCTGCCCCTGCAACCCCAGCCATGGGTTCTCCCCTCCCCCTGCTCTGCCAGTGCCTCCCACCTCTGCCCCTGCAACCCCAGCCATGGGTTCTCCCCTCCCCCTGCTCTGCCAGTGCCTCCCACCTCTGCCCCTGCAACCCCAGCCATGGGTTCTCCCCTCCCCCTGCTCTGCCAGTGCCTCCCACCTCTGCCCCTGCAACCCCAGCCATGGGTTCTCCCCTCCCCCTGCTCTGCCAGTGCCTCCCACCTCTGCCCCTGCAACCCCAGCCATGGGTTCTCCCCTCCCCCTGCTCTGCCAGTGCCTCCCACCTCTGCCCTGCAACCCCCGTGATCCCAGCCCTGGGCTCCCCACCGGCTTTGCTGACGCCCCTCAGTCTTAGCCAGTGCCCTTCTGTCTGATCCACAGATCAGATCCCCTGCAGAGCTGATGCTGCTTGCCCTTGTCCAGTCCTGGGCACACCCCGCCCCGTGGGACGGACCTGCAGCCTCCTGCTTGCCCACGGGGGGCTCGTGCATGGCTGGGGAGGGCTGGGGGTGGGGGGGGGGCAGCTGGGGG